TTTTTTTTATTTTTAATTTATCGTTATTTATTTTTATAAATTAAATCTTTTTTTTTAATTTAGAATAATGTTTTATATGTTTACAATTTGGATGACTATCATAATATTCACGAAGAAAGACAACCTAATACAACAGCACTATCGACACTCTTGCATTTTGCGATATGTATTTGCAAACCAGTAAAATTATGTACATCAATTCCTCTTATTTTTAACAATGCACATATTCACAATCCACTAAATATTGATGCGAGTAATATTTGTTTTAGGTTAATACATCAATATAATAGAATCTTCGATATTTCATATGGGGTACGAAAGCTATAATGGATCATATTTGGGGGTCTAAAAGTTAATTGTAATAATATTGAATCATTAACAGTTCATGTTTATGATGATACAATAAGTGAGCGAAAAGAAGAATGATCTACAAAAGATGTGTGATTAATCGGGTTTCAAGAAAAAAATTTGCATTCTATGTACAACTATATTAATACATTTCAAATGATATTAATAATTAATAAAGATAGTAGGCACTTACATAATTGCGTAGCACCTATTGTAGCAGATTGGCCTGGTCAACTTTTTATTAAATAAATCTTCATTTAATATTCCCGTGAGATTGGTTCATTTATTCCACTATTAGGACTATTGCATGTTTCTTTGAATAGCTAAGAGCATATTATGATTATATATTATTCTTTTTTTAAAAAATTGTTTCATTTTGTTTTTGGCAAAAAAAAAAAGTTAGCTAAGAATCCTAAACCATGGCGAATTAACCTATTATTAGAGTTAGCATATAGTGGTTGGTGTAAAATTAGAGAAAAGATTATAGTAAAATTTGGGTTAAATTGTAAAGATATTGAATACTGCACAGTTTTTGATCTTTTAGATAATTTGATTCCAACCGTATTAGAAGTATATTCTTTCCTTTTTCAGTCTAGCTTGTTTAATGAATATATTGAAACAATATTTTGCATTTGGACATTTATGTTACGATAGTATTGTCATAATTATAACAAAGCACCACTCGTATTTTTATCTGATATTTTTTATTGACAAGATACTAACTATCCATTTTTTAAAGTATTTAAACTTTCTTTAGTAAATTTTAATGAATACTATATTGAGAATTTTCATAGTAAAATTCATGCGCAAACTTCTTCAAACTTAACGGCTGAAAATATTATAAGACAAGCTTATATAATCAGTATGTACTTTAATTATTTATTTTGTCTCTTATTTATGAGTATATTATTATGAAGAACATAAACAGGTATTGTCCTTCTGCCATCAAGCAACCTATGCAGTTGATGAGCATTGAATTTCTAATTATTTTCTTCTTTTCTTTTTTTTTTTTTTTTTTTTGAACTACAAATCATGTTATCGAGACTAGTTATTTCTACGCATTAGACTGTAATGGCACAGGCCAATTAAAACAACATTGTATCAACTACAAAACACGGTATTACAACAAACTATTTTTATATATATGTGTGACTGTCATCACAATTTTATGACTGCCATCTCAGCAGGCCAATCAAAATAATATTGGGGCGGAGGAAGGGTCAATATAATCAGAATGAAAGTTGGGTTCATAAAAAAGACAGAATTAACTTATGCTAACCCCTCAAGTTTACTAAAATACTATGATCTAACTACCTCATACTTACTCAATCGATTCATATTTACTTAATTGCCTCATACTTACTCAATTATTACATATTCACTGAAAAAACTAAGAAATTCCAAGCATATATTATAATTGCATAACTAATTACTACATACCAACAACCCTGACCACACATTCTTAAGATCAATCAAGCAGCTATTTATTAAAATACTAATAAAATTTACAATACATTTAGATATGCAGAATAATGAAAAATTATGGGATGCCTTTATTAAAACAAGACGATATCCTTATACACCATCTGAATTAAACTTTTTAACAGAAAAAACTGGGCTTTTTCTTCTTAATCATTTACAAAAAAATTTCAAAAATCATGGAAAAAGCAAAATCTACAACAAAAAAGAGTCAGAATACTATTTGGCTACCCTGGATGAAATCGTAAATACAAAATATCTACCTACAGATAAAACTATAAAATTAATAAATAAATTTGTAATAATATCCTAATCTATTGGAAATTAGTAGAAAAGTTTCCACTTATTCACATTCAATTAGGGTATTATTAATTACAGCTGTTTTCAAAAAGGTGTGAACAACAATTTTCACATACCTATGTGAGGAATCAAAGAATTGGAAAATTATCATTAGTAAAAATTAAAAATCGATTAGAACTGGCTTTGAAAGTTTTGGAAATCTGGGTAATTTTGTAATGCATCTGTTCACACCTTTTTGAAAACAAGTGATAATCCTTCTGTGATTTTGATATATATAGTAATTGTAAGATTACAAAAAAATAAATTCATATATATATAATCGTAATTCTGGATATATGATAAGGATCTTTTGCAGTATAAGTGACACCATTAATAAAAACATATTATATATTAATCAATTGATCTAGAATAAGTGTTACCTATATTGCAAAAGATTCGCCAAACTTTCATCAGTACTTCACATATTATATATATGTATAAATTTACTAAATCTTAAATTTCATGAAATGTAAATATTAGTAAAACTTATTTTGTTTTAAAAAAAAAAAAATTTTTTAACTACGTAAGTTTCATTAATAAATTCGTCTATAGGTTATAGTTCAAATTTCCCTCCGGAACCTAATTTGTGTGATCATTGTCATAAATTTTTAAATGATGGAGAAGTTCTAGTTTGCGGGCATGGCTATCATCATAGCTGTTATTCAACGATAGAGTATTGCTGCCACCACTATAGGGAATATTATAAAAAGGGTATTTACTATAATGTTGAAAGTTTTATTAAATGATTAGAAAAAGGGCCTAACACTCTTACCAAAGAAGAAAACTATAAAAAAACTGAAAAAAATACTGATCAGGAAGATGATACGGTGGAAGAAGTAAAAAGAGAGAACCCTGATGCTTTTTTACTGGCACTTAATGCTGTTAACAATTGGTAAATTTTTAAAAAATTATAAAAAGTTAGTACTATGAAAACTTGGCAGAACATTCAATCTCATTCGATCTCAAGTTTTCAAATATAATAAAAAATACTTATGAACTCATAGTTAAAATAACGACAATTAATATTTAACATGTTACGATTATCATCATATGAGCGAAATCGCTCAAAAATTGCATTTTTCGTAAATGTGTTGCAATTTGATTGGCTAATGTTGAATGATCGACAATTGTCATATGCCCAATCAAAATAAATTTCCATCTTGCTCACCAATTTAAAACTGTGTTTAACATAACCCTCCCCTAGGGTGTGTGGTATAGCTAAAAAATCTTGCATGCCACATTGCCAAAGTTTATGCCAAGATGCCAAAGTTCATGCCAAGATGCCACCCTGGCATGTGATTTCCCCTGCTGCACCCACAAAATTTTTCCGGACACGTGATTTTTAAAGTTCATTATGTTACTAACGATTAAATTTTTAAAGTTCGTTTATGTTAGGGTTAGCGTTTACTTTAGAGTTAGATGTTAGATAAATTTATAGTAAAATGTCTTGAGGAAAATTTTTTATTAAGACACAAAAAGTGATTTCTTATGCTTATTTTCAAGAAATATGCGATTTGTGACTTTTTTTTGACAAAGCGAACGTTTTTGAATTTCCTGATTGTGTAACGTTACACCTGATCCTGAAATTTGATTGGCAAAAATCACGTGCCCGGAAAAATTTGTGGGTGCTGCAGGGGGACATACTGTAATTTTGTCACGAAATCTGATTAATTAAAAAAGATATGCATAAAATTTTTTTAAGGAATAATAAATTTGTAACCGCGGTTACTGTAACCGCATCCAACAAAGCCAATCAAATTTTAAGATCAGGTGTAACGTGAAATCAAAACAAAAACTTTCTTTTAAAAATCGTTAATAACTCAAAATTTTGACTATGAAACCATTCTTTACATTCTAACAAAAAAAATTCCTTGCTAAATTTTGATATAAACTAGCCCTTTCCTATTCTTAGCCTCACCCCAACCCTAACCTTAATTGCAAAGTTGATTTTTATAAAAAATAATTGGTTTGATAATTATATTAATTACGGTTACAAAACAATTAATGTAACCTACGGTTACAAAACAATTAATCCTTTTTTTAATATCAGAATTGCTATGGTAACAAATCACTATAAAATAATGCCCTTAAAAAAATTGAAATTTAATATTAAAAAAATTTAAAAAAAAATTTGAATTCAAAAATTTTTTTAAATTCTTGCTAAAATTTACTATAACGCAAATATACCAAATAATAAATATTCTATTTGCTATAAATTTGTCTTTAGAATTAAAATTAGATTAAATTCAATCAAATATACGCCAAAATTTTTTATTTTATTTTATTTTATTTGTACACGAAATAAGGATCGAAACCATTTAATTGCTTAAAGATTGTTTCATAGTTTCGAATTAACCGGATAAACGGTTATGCGGTTCCAATTTCACGTTGCACCTGGTAGTGAATGGCGTTGATTAATTGGTTGAATAGGTAAAAAAACGCCTTTGGCTGGCAAGAAACTCGACCGACAGTAGCTGTGGGGAGGAATTAGTTAATGCGTATTTGCCTAGCTTATTATTAAACTTCTAACATGTACAGTATAGCTTTTTAAAAATAGTAAAAATAAACTGAAAGATGTTACGTGAAAACTGGTTCAACTTTTATTGAAATAAGATTTTTCGTTTGCTATCTTTTCACTAGGTGTCGGTATTAATGATTTAGTAGAATTTACACCTTTTGATTTCGAAGAGACAGGAATGGATGATTTAATCGATGGTGTTTTCACCGTGGTTTTTTTAGGATGGGCTACGGCGCGATTATTGCCAGCTGGTTTCCAAGGTGGATTAATATAAGCGGGAGGTTGATAAGAGGGTTTTCGATCAAGCGAAAGCGCAATTTGCATATCCTCTGTAATATTTTTCAATGCCGCATTTTCTATCACATCTTTGCGTTGGTTGATCATCTGAATTCAAATTATTTTTAAACATCCGTTATGATAATTAAATGAAAGACAAGGAACTTGAATTACACATACCTGTAACCCACTGAGAACTTTGCTAATCATGGTTTCCCTCCCTTCAATCTGCAAATGTAACCGTTTTTGTTCTTCAAGCATACTAGAAAACTATTTGAGTATGGATCGAAAGTTGCCATTAAAACATAAGTATATACTCTCAGATACAAGAATGATAAAGTCGAATTCATAATGCAATATCTCACTTGATCTTCCAAATTTTTAACTCTCCGTCTCTCATTTTCAATTGTTTTGTTCTTTTCCTCCAATTGTTCACGAAGCTGTTCATTTAGCATTGCAAATGTGTTTTCTACTTTAGCTTCTCTAACTTTTGATTCGTTTGTTGCCTGAATATATATATATTGAAATTAATACGAATGCATTCTACAAATTTATAGCAACCAATATGACGCCAGATTTCAATGCAGGCCACATACAACAGCCATAGGTTAAACTAAGCAATACAAAAAGATTTTTACCTCCTCCATTGAAGCCTTTTGCATAGACATCATTTCCTGCAATTGAGAATTCCTACGATTCTGGGCTTGCAATTGAGCTTCAATGTCTCTACATATTCATTAAAGTAAATAGAAACGTTGAATAGTTATATTCGTAATGAAAACTTTTAAAAGAAAATAAAGATATGTACTTAATGTTTTCAATCAAAGATTCAACTTTTTCTTTGGCACCTTGTTTTTCAACCTTGAGCCTTTCCTCTGCCTGTTTTTCCCTGTATTCTAATTCTCTAACTCTGGATTCTGTTGTTCTGAGTTTAATTTCAAGTTCTTCGGAATGAGCACTAACTACTTTATATTCTTCAAGTTGCTCTTGCAAAGTTGAAAGCTGATAAACAAGTTCATCATTGGCATTCTATAATGATAATATTACGTAAGCAAAAAAAAAAGGAAAATAAATAAACAATTTACGATAATTATAATAATAAATACTTTGGCGGCATCAAGTTCGTTTTGGTTTTTTTTTTGCTTGTTCTCTCAAATCTTTCTGAGCATTAGTGGCTTTATTAACCATTCCTTCAAATCTATTTAGTAAGCGTAGTTTTATATCCATTTGATTCTTAAGAGATCTGAATATCGAAAAAATTACAGTTTGAGGAAATTACTGTATAAATAAATAAATAAAAATACAGCATAGTTTGATGACAGAGTAGATACAAACTCAAATTGCTCCTGCCAACGATTATCTATTTCTTTCACTCTACGATCAAACGTGTTATAAGTGTTGCTTAAAACTTTAAGTTTCGATAATAGATGCTCGTGGAATATTTTGAAATTGGCAGATGGTTTC